GAGGGGGCGTGGTGGGGGGCGGACGGGCAGGGAGGACCGGCTCGGCTCGGGCAACGATTCGCTTATGTTTGTCCGAAAGGATCTGTTGACAGCCCCGCGCCGCCCTCGGCCGGCCCGGTGTTTACCCGCACTTTACGGGCTCAACTGTTGCCGGCCTGGTCTCTTGCGCCCGCGGGGTGCCGCTCGCGCCACGTCCCTCCCTCCCCTCCTCCGTCCCTCCACTCCTACCTCCCTCCCTCCACTCCTACCTCCCTCCCTTCCCTCCTACCTCCCTGCCCCTCCATCCTCCATGTCTAATTGGCTGAGCGTCACTTCCTCGCCGTTTTCTCTCCCGACCCCGCCGTACCCGACGTGTGCCGGCCTCCCGACCCCGCGGGCCCAGTCCAACCGACCCGAGCCGCCCCCGGCCTTGGGGGTGGCTGCCTCGGGGGCGGGGATGGACTGCGCGAGGGAGGAGGAGCCCGAGCCGGGTCGGCGACGTGCGGAGGGTCGCCATGTCCTTTACTCTGGCGGCGCCGCGGCTCGGCCCGCGTCCCCCGGGGCCCGCCCCCGGCGCGGTATATTATTAGCAGATGCGTCGCTCTGCACGGGGCTGCGCCGGGGCTGCGGGTGCGGGGCCCGCCCGGCCGCGGTCGGTTGGGGCGGCGCGCGGCCCACCGGGACAGAGGAGGAGCATCAACGGGCTATCAGAGTCCCGGGGAATTGACGTAAAGGAACCCTTGACGACGCCGTAAAACCGCTAGCTGTGGATGTGAGGAGCGTTCCGATCAGACCGAGCATTCGGCACTCCTCGGTCAAGCACTTCATGGGTGTCTCCTCGAAGCCCACTCCTTGGAGGGCTCGTCTTTCGCGCGCTGCCTCCTCCCCCTGCGCGGTCGCGCAGGCCCGAAGTCGCGCGGTTGCCCGTGGTGGGTTGGAGCGCGCGCGCGGCGGGCGAGCCTCCTCGGTCGCCTGGGAACGGCGGGGTATGCAACCCGCTGCACGGGCGTGCACAAGGCGATATGGCGGGTGGCCTAACCGAACGGCGGCGCGCCTGTGTATCGGAGGATAGGCAACCCGGCGCACTCGCTCCCTCCGTGCTGCCAGCGTCTGGCCCTGCTATTACCCCCATTTACCCTACCCCTCACACCCTCTCCCTCTCTCTTTCTTTCTCCTCCGTATTTCCTCCTCTTCCTCCATCTTTCCTCCTCTTCCTCCGTATGTCCTCTTCCTCCCCCTTTCTGCCTCCTCCCTCTTTCTGCCTCATCCCCCTTTCTGCCTCCTCCCCCTTTCTGCCTCCTCCCCCTTTCTGCCTCCTCCCTCTTTCTTCCTCCTCCCTCTTTCTTTCTCCTCCCTCTTTCTTCCTCCACCCTATTTCGTTTCTATCCCTCTTTCTTCCTCCTCCCCATTTCTTCTTTCTACTCCACATTTCTTCCCCCTCCCCATTTCTTCCTTATCCCTCTTTCTCCCCCCCCC